AGAATATTTACCACAGTCTGATATCAATGTGTTTTCTGCACTCGAGGTCCATCTGACGTATGACAACGCCGATCATTATGTTTTAAAGTCTGATAATGAATAATGTACAGTAAAAAGACTAAATGCACACATGCTCTTTCACTGGAAACGTGTGCACTCCTATCATTAAGCATACAAGTCAGATGGCAGCTCCAGAGAGCGTGTGTGTGCACTTTGGCCCAACCCGAGCACGTTCCAATCCAAACAAAAGCCCAGTGCAACCAAATTCCGCCAGCGTTACCCAAGCCAATACGCTGGAGAACTTCCAGCCGACATTTTGATGACGAGGCGGGAATCAGGAAGCATTAATAACTTAGCCTGTTTCATAAAAAAGGTTTAAAAAAGAGGGGAAAATGCCACACACATGGCCTGTCCATCAAACATGACTATAAACTTGTCACCTCCTCCTTGTCGTTTTTCAGTCCCTGCTGTTTTTTTTTCTTTCCTTCATTTTTTTTCTTAGTAGATAAATGTGAGGCCTGGGGGCTCTATTGTTTGGACATCTAACCAGGAACTGTCGCCACTCTCATTGCCCCCACATTAGCAGCAATTATGCGCCCTATTCAGACTGTCTTTGTGCATCTCCCTCCTCTCGGTCTTCCATCTCCCCCACTATGCCACGGCGGGCAAATTGACCCCGCTTTTTCCCGCTTTTCCTAATCCCCCACTCCATTCCAGCATACCGCACAAGGTAAACTCCTCTAAAACAAAGAAGATATACAAAAATATTCTGATTATAAAATCTAATATTTTTTATAACATTTATATAGTATTTATATATAATATTTATATGATATTTTGAAAATTCCGATTCTATCATATTTTTGCGTGAGCACAATAAAACTACACTAGCATACATTCAGAGGAAAAAAATTGCATTTTAAATGTAGTAAATCATACAAATGCACAAATTACAGTATTTATTGGCCAAAAATATTATATCTTTGTATGTTTCCCTTTTACATTTTTACAAATTGTTTCATAATTGTGCTTCATTTAATTTTCCTGAAAAGTCTTAATAGTCTGCATACAGTGTGACAACATGCCCCTCTATTATCACATAATGTGTTTAATGAAAAGCATCTCTTTTTTTTTCCTGAACAATAATTCAAATATTCAATAGCCTTTTAAAGCCAGGATTTTAAGGTATGTGCCAATACAGAAAATGATTTTCAAAAAAATAAACCTGAAAATATTTCAATAAAACCCTTGCATAGTTACATACATTTATATCACATTACAGATCAAGTAGTTTTAAAATATTTGAAATGCATTTATAAAATGCATCTAACGATCTGATTCTTTCTTGAAGACTTTCTGTACTTTACTGTATGAAACTAAATCATTGCAAATATGTGCAAATTTGACAAAAAGCAAAACAGAGTGTATCGTAAAAAAAATGCTGGCTTTTTAACACCTAATTATTTATTAATTTATGTGTTTATTAAGATTGAAAATTAAATAATCTGCCAAATCATCTAAATATTATGGCAGATACTAGCACAAGAACTTTCATAGATTTCCATTTGGAAATTGTATTAAATTCTTGCACTTCTTGTAATTAATCAATATTACAGGTCTTCTTAAACAGACCTTGACTCAAAAAATGTAGAGCTACATTAGGGTTGAATGCATCTTTGACAAAAAATATTAATTACACAAAATCAATTTTGAAATTTTGAGATTAAATTATACAGTAAATTTAAAATAAATAAAAAAAATGGGGAAAAAATATTTCAGGTCTCCGCCAAGCATCTCCTTTTCTTTGCTCTAAATAGTGCAGAGTGCATTTGGGTGTTGCAAGTTTGTCTTTTTTTATATTATGTTCCTTTTTTAAACTACGCATAATTATACGTTGAAACCTGAAACCTCAGCCAAAAGTCTGCAGGCCTAAGGAATTATGGGGCCAGGGGTGGCGTCAAATATCTTAACATTCATAAGTCAGAGAGGCAGTAAATAAACCCAGCGGATTTACGGGCATAAAGCCCCCTGCCAGAACTCAGCCGGCCAGACCTCTGCTCTACCTTGCTTTCCCCTCTCCACAGACCTGTTGAGGTGCGATTTTAGCCTACAACCACCCAGTTAACCCAGCACCTTTCCAACCACAACACACACGTAGAGTGTGTCCGCCGCGCAAACTGCTCTCGATGAAAGAGGGGGAAGAGTGGCTATTGTCTGCAGTTTTTAGTGAGGGAAAAAAAAGAGGATCCAGGCATTGTCGGTAGAACGTCACGGCAAATTGCTAATTGCTACCAAATCATCGTGAAGCTTTTCCGACTGAGGTGGTTGGAAATACAAACTCCCGTTATTACAGCTCTCAGAGGTCAGACGAATTAAACTAGCTCTCTCCCTTCAGTCAAACACACACTAGGGGAAAAGCATTTCATCACTATTGCAAGAGCGGACCATCAGGGAAATTCAGCTGACACATGGTCTGTGTAAATTAAATAATTTTTTTTTTTTTTAAATTGTCACATCTCTGATATCAACCTTTAGAGAAGCATCCACCATTACCTAAATCCTTATGCGGCAGCAGCTAATTTATCCTGAAAACAAAACACGATCAATAAATCCATAAATATTTATGACATAATTACTCACAAATAAACACATAAATGCAATAAAACTGTAATATATCCTCTGCTTGTTTAATACAATGTAGATTAATCCAATTAATAAAAATACAAGTTAAAATACAATTTAAAAAAAATGCTAAGAAATGCTAAAAAGCACATCATCGGCAGCTAAACCCAACAAGCCCCATGCATTCGTTAAACGGAGCGACAGCTAATCGATGCTCAGGTGAATTATTTATCCTCTACTTAAGTAATGCGTTTATGAATACAACGGCTTTCGACTTCAAAGCGGTGTGAAATACCCGAAGTTAAATGCCGTTTCAGAGCAGTACATTTCGAAGGTCGTCATTTACTTAATTTCAGGTTACACCACATGTCATTGTCATAAAGCGTACCTTCACGTTTAAGATTAAGCCTAGAGCTGATTATGAAAATTAGAAATGACTGCAAGATCCTACTGCACAATTTTCCTATCCTTATTATGTTATATCTGCAGCAATGACATCTAAAAAAAAAATGATCAAATATCAATTGTGAATAAAAATATGAACCTACTAAATCAACATTAATTCTTTCAGGTGCCAAAAAAAAAGTGCTGGACAAATATGCATAACTGATATAAACAACATAATCTGTATTTGCACTGAAATATTAAGCATATATTCTCATTACATGTTATTCAACATTATGCATGTTCTAAATAGGAAGTCCATCATGCCATGACAAAATTTTAATGTAAGCATAAAACATATTTCAAAAGAATCCTGATGCTAATATTTTACTACACACTGTGTCAAGGGTGGAATGAGCAATATTGTGCTTTCATTCTGACCATCACAAATTCATTGACTGCCTTTCACTAATAACTATAAACATTTCCCATGATGCTCTTTGGCAATATCATTTATGTGCAATGCATTCTTTAAATAACACAAGCAGTATTATGTTAAGCTCGGATAAATTAGTCATAAATTAGCTCAGATAAATGAACAACGTCTCATTTTAAGTGGCACACTGTAAAAATGTTTTCATCATTAGCACAATTTTCCTATCCTTATTATGTTATATCTGCAGCAATGGCATCTAAAAAAAAAAGATCAAATATCAATTGTGAATAAAAATATGAACCTACTAAATCAACATTAATTCTTTCAGGTGCCAAAAAAAAAAGTGCTGGACAAATATGCATAACTGATATAAACAACATAATCTGTATTTGCACTGAAATATTAAGCATATATTCTCATTACATGTTATTCAACATTATGCATGTTCTAAATAGGAAGTCCATCATGCCATGACAAAATGTTAATGTAAGCATAAAACATATTTCAAAAGAATCCTGATGCTAATATTTTACTACACACTGTGTCAAGGGTGGAATGAGCAATATTGTGCTTTCATTCTGACGATCACAAATTCATTGACTGCCTTTCACTAATAACGATAAACATTTCCCATGATGCTCTTTGGCAATATCATTTATGTGCAATGCATTCTTTAAATAACACAAGCAGTATTATGTTAAGCTCGGATAAATTAGTCATAAATTAGCTCAGATAAATGAACAACGTCTCATTTTAAGTGGCACACTGTAAAAATGTTTTCATCATTGTGTCATAACAGCATCTTTGTTTCCATCCATTTAAACTGTCAAAATAATTTCTGTCATTTCTACTCGATTTCCTTCAGCAGTAATTAAATTCAAAGTGGCAGAAAAGGCGCAGACTGCAGCCTAACTATAGCAGCACGTTGGTTTCATTTTTTAAATATTAAGGCTGCAATTAATTATTATTATTATATTAACTATTATTATTATTATATGAATTATTTGTTAAGGATTTAATGCTTTAGAATAACAGAAACGCTTTATTTTTTTCACGTGTAAAAATCATAATAACGATAGTAATAACAATACTATTATTATGAATTCAAACATTCTTGTATATTTCAGTTTTAGACATTCCGGAACACCCGCTACTGTACATTAAACGTCTAGACAGAAGCGAGCGAGCGAGCGAACCCACTAGTTATTCAAGAACACAGACGATTCAAATAAATAACACTGTAAAAATGCAGAATCTAAGGCAAAGGTACCCTGCCAAGTATGCAAATATAGCCGTAGGAAATGAGAAGAAAAAAATAACAACGGAGTTAAGAGCTGCAGTGGCCGTGTGTTTGTGAGCGTCAGGAAAGCACATTATGCGTTGCACTGTACTCGCCGCTCGGTCAGAGCGACAGCGGATCCGCGGGAACGGCATGCCACTGTACAGTACTGAGTGAAGTGTGGCAGAAGTTCACAAGCCGACCAAAGCGATCCCTAAACATGGACGTGGTGCTTTAGCTGCGTGTATGTGGCTGCAGAAACACGTTAAAAACACTTACTGTGCGCGCGGTGGGTGAGAGAGATCCGTTCGGGAGGTACGGGCTCGTGAGGTCGGGAATCATTATAAATGGATAGCCCGGGTACGGTGGGCTCTTGAACAGCCCTCCATCTTGCCTTTTCGCAGCTAACATGGCGGGGGGGAAAAGAGGAAAACTTTTAGTTTAAGTTACACTCCCAAAAAAAAAATACTTTGTACGTGTGTGCAGAAGCAAACGGAACCGAGGCACCGTGTGTTGTCCTCAGCAAAAAGATGATTTAGAGAAAACAAGCACTCACCCTCCTCTAAACTTTCTCTTGTTTTGTCTCTGAAACTTTCAGATCTAGGCGGAGGCCGTCTTTCCGCCTTGAAATGCAACGAAACACAGGGAATGCATTGAATATAATCACAGCGAGGAGCTCGTTGGCTAGTTAGCAGCGTGTTTAAACAAGAAAAGTGCATGTCAAGTTGTGGACAAAGTCGCGGATTCGCGGTTATTTGTCACTTACCTCAGAATCCGACGAGCTGTTTTGATTCGTTTCCGACTCGTTTACGAGAGAAGATTTGACATCTGCTAAATCCCTTTCTGCTGAGGAGTTCTCCGAAATCTTTTCCTCCTGCTCGCCTTCGTCTTTGAAGGAAATCATTTCATCGTTCGCACCCAGATCGTCCCCTCCACCGCCGTTCAGCTGCGGCATTTTTCCCGAGGAGCGCTAATTTTGCGGGGGGCCAAAAACACCCAAAAGTTTTGAAACCCTTGATCTTGGTGTGATCCCCGAATCCCGAGTTTTAAGTTTAGGGACTCGCAGTGGCGTTTGGCTGGGTGAGTGTTCAAAACTCAAAAAGAAGAGGGCAATCTTGGCAGAAACAGAAGCCGGAGACGGAGCTGAGGCGCTCGGATTGAGGGAGTTGAAGTTGGTCGGAGTGGTTTTCAGTTCAAAGGCGGCGCTGATTGACAGATAGAGAGGGATGGAAATAGAGAGAGTCTGGATTCGGGATTATTGACAGGGAGAAACACACAAGAAAAAAAACTAATGAGATTCAAACAGGGAGGGACTTGAAGTGACGTTTTCATAAATAGAGAGGGGCAGGAAAAAGTACTGGAGGGGGAAAGAGCCTGAGCGAGAAACACAGAGAGAGGGAGAGGAAAAGAGCTTTTGGTGAAGAGCAGGACCCTGTTTGCTCTTCTACAGGAATGAATGGAAAAACAAGCGGAAGACACTTGTGCGGTAGTCTGCGTGTTTCTGCACACAGCTAGAATCATATCGGCTTCCTTACTTTCTGCAGTTGTTTTAGGAGGTGTCGGTGGGCTGGAATAAGCCCACTCGCTCCAAACACGGACTCAAATGACAATACACTCTGAACTGCTCTAAATCAATCCTGTTTATGAAAGCATCACTTCAAAACGATTTTACTTGCCAGGCATTTATATGACCCTTTATATTGTTTATGTCCTTGTATTGGTGATTTAAAACGTGGCTGGCATTCTCCTAAGTAGCCTATATAATCTTATATAGCCTACTGAAATGTTTTTTTTTTTTAATCATTATATCAACATCTTTGTCGTCAAAAAACGTAACTTCTCAAGGCAGCTTGTCGCTTTGATTTTACATTAAAAAAATTAAATAAAAGAATTTTTTTGTGCGTTTCAATTTCTATCTATATAAGGTCATATATAGGATAGTTCCATGCATACAAATTTTCCTATAGGAAACTTACAGATAAATATAAACACTTACATGCAAATACTTTCCCTATATATAGATAAAAAACACAAAAAGTTTGTTTTATGTCAAATAAGTGATTCAATTATATGAATATATATACACACACTCACACAATTCAATGTATTTCTAAGTATATTACATTAAAATATATACACACTGATACAATGAATAAAGGTCTTGTATGATCATATATATATATATATATATATATATATAATCTGTTGGTTCTGAGACAGACAGGCTAATTAAGGCCAGATAACCTGTATTCATTGTGAATAAAGACAAGGCGGGTAGGGGTTGAATATCTTTTCTTGCACATCTCTTCTCTGCAAAAATGCAAGAACAAACTTTTTTGTATGCTTTTGGTTTGTTCATTTTGGATTGAAATAAAGTGTATGTATACATACATGTACAAATCATAAAAGATTATGAAATTAAAACAAAACTATGGGTAGTTTCCCAAAATTGTATGAGCTATGAATTATACTCCAAAGCCATTCCTTTGTGTTTTGATTAGTACTGCCTAATATCCTCAGCCTGCTGACTCATAGCATTTCCCCTTTTAACATTATTTGCTTACTTAATATTTAAATGAGCCATTTCCTTACATCCACTTTAACAGGCAAGGTCACACAGGTATCAGAAAGCTTCATTCTTTTCCCTATACCTGAATTTCACTGGTGGAATTATGCAGAAACAACGTCATTTGAAGGACCCTGCAGTGTTGCCTTTATAATATTATACACTGAAAAAACAGTATTGGTATCATGCATATAAATATACAGCATGCCTATACAATATATAATGTTTAAATGTTAAAATTTGTACTCCCAATAATTAGAACATTTTATTCTAATATAGGCAACCATATATATTACAAAGACCGTAATATAAGAACTGACAAAAGAAAAGAAAAATAATATTTCATATATTCACAAATAGCACAAAATTATATGATTTGCGATTATAATAATCTTCCAAAACAGTTGCAGAAATGCAGCATGACACATCTTAACATTCTTTGAAGTTATTTATAAATATAAGATCTATGGGATAGATATGCATCCTTAGTTGTTATAGAGTGAGTCAATATGATTGAACAATAACGACTCAGTATTTAAAATGTGCTGTCAGCAGCTGAAAGATGCCCCATTGCTTTTTGACTTCAGAAGTCTGGAGCCTGCAGATACCAGACCAAAGCAGCTGAGCTCCTAGCTAGCATCTCCCTGGATTGCCTCAGCAGGTTACTGAGAGTTCACTTAGATTGGGTGCGTTTTATCAGCCTTGCTAAGCCAAGCCTTGCTCTATTTATTTCCCTGCTGGATCTAAACCTATGACCAATCCATGTGTTAAACCACGCTTCAGACTGACCTATTCTTTCTGTGCCAATATGTTATCATGCGCAAAAAAAGGAAAATAATGTTTATTTCAGATTTGACAATAAAATAAGAGACAAGCTTTGATTTCTGCACACTTACCCTTATATCTCCATACTGCGTTCTGTGTAAAACGTTACCTGGTAAGATATTTGCGTCTGTGCAAACAGTTAATTACCCACAATGCCTGCGTGTTCCTGTGCTGGATGAAATGGCTCTGTTCTTAATTAGCATATTATGGGCTCTGTTAATGGTCTTCCCGGTTGTTTTCAGAGTAACAATATGTGCGTTTTAAATAGTGAATACAACATGATTTATGCCAGATCCCCGCTAAGCTAGTTGAATAAAACAAAAAAGTTTTATAGTTTTTACAAGTGGAACTTGGCATTTAACCTTTTCGCATTTAGTCAATTGCAAATTTCCCCATTGTGAGAGAGCCTCTGCGTACCATTTCAGCATTTTTTTCCCCCTGTAGGAGCTCAGATGAATGGATTTTATCCTGTGAATAATGACGTGGTTAACCACAATTATGCGGTTCTAATGGATCTGCATGTTTTGCAGGCAGAGACCAACAATAGGGACATTATTTTCTTTACATCATTATGCAAAGTTTCATTTTATAATGTATATTTAAGGGCACATTGAAAAACTAATTGTGTTACCCTCTGCATTTTGAAAAGATAACAGTCAGAGAACAGTCTGAACAGAATCATTTGTGATTTGTGAGTAAATGAGTTTTGATGGAATGGAAATGTTAATAGATTATTAAAGTTCCAAACAAAGTCTAATCTTACAGTGCATCTTTCTTTCTGTTATTTTATGAATCACAGGATTTGACTTGAGATGTGTCATTTAATTGGTTCTGTGAATCCAACTTGGATCCCCCGCATTTTGAAAAGATAACAGTCAGAGAACAGTCTGAACAGAATCATTTGTATGTGAGTAAATGAGTTTTGATGGAATGGAAATGTTAATAGATTATTAAAGTTCCAAACAAAGTCTAATCTTACAGTGCATCTTTCTTTCTGTTATTTTATGAATCACAGGATTTGACTTGAGATGTGTCATTTAATTGGTTCTGTGAATCCAACTTGGATCCCCACATCAGCATTTAGACCTAGAAAGCTGTTTTTGAGAGTTAAAACATTGTAGTCCCATCCACAGCACTAACTGTGTCTGAACATGTCTCTCAACCCTGCTGGAGTCTGTCAAATTCTCCATAGTGGGAAATGTATTTGGGAAAGGAGGAGCACCGAATCTGTTCTCCAAAACAAACAGCAGACTTTTCATACATGGACGCGACAGCCATTTATCAAGGTTTGGAGCAATACAAATATGTAGCCACCTGAAGAGGCGCATCAGCGTGTACGTATCACATCTCTTAAACTCTGCGGTCACAACGAATATCGGAGCCAAGGCACACACAGAGGAAACTCTCTGACATCACACCAAACCTACATTACTCAGAGGATGAACCCATGACCCCAGAGTTATCTCTCGAGCACAGCCTCGGCATCAAATGCTCTCTCTTTCAGCACACCGTCGATTCCTTCCCACAGTTTTCATATAGTCTGCATAAATTATACTAATGTCAACAACAGCTTGTCGTGAAGACAAAAAGCTTAATGTTGTATGATTACGTTAAGTCCTTCGGATCTTTGTAATGCTTGTGTTTTAGCTTTCTGTGCTCTCTGTTATCCAAATATTTACCATTTATGAGTGCTTCTCTATAATAGATTAGTTGGCTTTGTTGAGCAGATATATTTTTGGATTTAGAAAAGCACAGACACTCGACTAAAAGGTGGGTAAGGCACTCTTATTTAGGTTCTTATTTGGGTTCTATAAAGAACCTGCAAGGGTTCTTTATTCAGCTTCAAAGAACTTTATGCCAATAAATGTATGAAAACCCTAATAGTATTGATAAACAAATGGCACAAAAAGGGTTTACACTAACAACTTAAATATATGAAATAATACTTTAAGTCATAGTAAATAATACTAATACCTATTATTAATATAGTATTCCAATGCTATGGATATGATTATTTTAGTTTTAAGTGATAAAGTATCAGTTCACATGATAAACTATTTAATTTACATATCCATGAACTCTATATTTGAACGCATATTTGAAATCTATAGAATTCAGTTGAAATTCCAAAACATGAAGCCAGCAATAGAACTCGATAGAACTAGACTTATATAGAACTTTATAGACTATAGCCTTAAGATTGTGAGAATTTAGTTTTTTGGGGTTTTAGATTAGAAAACGCATTTGTTCTAGCAGCAGCCCTCTCATTATTTTGGTTCAAGGACGTGTCCGAAAAGCTTCTTCCTGAGCAAGATACAGGAAACAGCAGGCAGTTTCCCAGGCTGAAAGAGCAGGAAAAGTTTTCAACGCAGTAGGGGCAATGGCTGACAGCTATCATAGATCATAGTGCATGTGGGTTTGAACTATAGACTATGGATATTAGTCTCAGAAGGATGTGTTTTACATCATGAGCATGCATCCGCTCCATTCTAAACATCAGGATCAAATGTATACAGCTCTAAATGCATTTAAACAATCCATAATGTAATAGACAAACAGGTTGCTCTTTCATACCTCAGGAGACTTGATGGAGGTCTCAGTTCAGATTTGTTCAGCTTCGTCTTCTGAAACTCTTTAAATTAGAAACAAATATGGCAATTGTTGCATTCAAGAGTACAGAGATATTAATGTAAAGTAAATGAATGTAGATTTCTTCTGAAACTCTAAAGAAGATTCATTTTCCTCAACTGAAATATTTGAAAGCATTCGATTCAAGTCAAAATCTCAATTTGCTCACCATTTAATCACTCTGCATACTAGAACAAACAACAAGCATATTAGAAATGGACCTAAGTCAAGGTTTTTTGTGTGTGTGTTTTTTGCCTATGAGAAAGTCTATAGAAACAG